ATTATTCTTACCAGTTTAATTTCTGATGAGATTTCCGTACAGGGAAATTCAGATATTGAACTGATTTTTAGAAAATCGGACAGATAAATGTCCGATTTTCACTTATTCGGACAATTTCTGTCCGAATCAGTGAAAATCGTTCGTTATTATCTGCTTAAAATATAAAACAGAAATTAACTTCCATATAAATAAAATCTTTAATTTTATAAATTAAATTATTTAAATTTATCTATAATATATATCACATTAATGTATATTGTTATATATTATTACTGTAATTGATTTTAGTTTTGCCGTCAAACAAACATCAGAAAATGATGTTTTCAGTAATATTACCGAAATATTGCTGAAATCTTTTAGCAAGGTTGCATTTGAAATGATTGCGGACATTGAAACATTGCAGAAATGTTGCAGAAACGGTCGTGAAATATTTCAGTAATATTGTTGAAAGGTGTAATATTTCAAATGGAATATTGCAGCAATGTATCAAAAATATTACATGCCGAGTGGGGAGTTATTTGAATGTCACCATACATTACCTAGGAAAAGATCTTATGATGAAAAATGGATGCCTAGGTGTTTTCCCATTGCACAGCAATCATACAGAAGTCTACCTGTCGGAATGTCTTAATGCTGTGATTGATGATTTTAATTTATCTAAAAATAAAATCATGGCAATCACCAGCGATGGAGCTCCGAATATAGATGCTGCCGTTCACAATGTAGTGGGCCAGGAAAAGCATAATTTGGTGTTTCGCTCATTTTCTATCGCACCTAGTCCCGAAAGTACAAAAAACTATGCCAGCTGTTATCGACATTATTATTGCGATCCGAAGAGTCGTAGCACTCATTCAACGAAGTGTTGTGACTTCAGATGAGTTGAAAAGATTGCAGATCTGTGATGGAAAGACGGAGGGAACATCCTTAAAATTCATTATCGATGTTGCAACTCGCTGGAACTCTACTCTTTATATGCTGGAGAGATTTCTCACTCTGGAACACTACGTTCATGCAGTTAGTTTGAAATGTAAGAGATCAGACATTCCAAACATGCTGACGCGTGATCAGACTGAAGTTCTCAAAGACCTTGTGCTTCTTATGAAGCCAGTAGAGTGCATTATTAGAGAAATTAGTGGGAGTAATTATCCTACTTGCAGTGTCATTATCCCTATTATACATTGCATGACACGTTCAATCGAACAAATTCAACTTTCAACAAATGAAGGGATTGAATTTCAACAAAGATTACTGGCATCAATAGATGAGAAGTTTAAGCATGTTGAGAAAAACATGATCCTATCAATCCGACAATACTTGACCCACGCTTTAAACGGCTTCACTTCCAAAATGCTCTTGCAGCTGCAACTGCTATTGAGAAAATCAACAAAGAGATGAAGGTATTTGAAAATAAAAAAGATGAGATGACGACAATACTCCAACAAGTTGAAGAGAATCCAGAACAGTCAAATCTTTGGAAAACTCATGATGAGTTGGTGGCAAGGTATGCCGAAATAAACATGGGCGAGGAAAATCTTGCGTATGAGTTAAGGCAATATTTAAAGCAGAAAGTAATTCCTCGACATCAAGACCCATTCAATCATTGGAAAATATTTGAACCCTCGTTTCCAGGACTGTATAAGTTGGCAATTCAGTACATCAGCATCATTAGTACTTCAGTTCCTTCAGAAAGGTTGTTTTCAGCGGCAGGAGGTATCAAAACAGACGATCGAAACCGTCTTACGGGTGAGCATTTGAACAGACTTCTATTTTTGGGATCTTTATCCAAAGAAGAATGGAGATTGGGTTGAGGCTTTATATCACTCTCATTTTGCATTGTTCTAGCCTGCACGGTGGCTGGCAGGGCTCCTCGCAAGTAAACTTGCACGAAAAATCGCATCGTGGGAAACTAGCTTAACTCTGATTAAAGGAACTCTAGGATCGCAGATCGCACAATGGCTGCCCATTAGCAGTCCAGAGATTCTTGTATTCTTAATATTTAAATGGCCGTAATGATCTGGGGTGGGTCATGTATTCGGGCCAACAACAGGTTATATTAGAGTGTAAATTCAGTTTTTATGCGTATATACTGGAAGAAGAGAAGAGAGAGAAGGAAGGAATTTTTGTTGGGAGGTGGTAGGAAAGGAAAAATGGGAAAGCGCAGGCCAGGGTTGAGTCGGGAATCGAACCCGAGATCTCCGGGATGTGAGTCAGGCGCGCTACACACTGAGCCACCGGAGGCCCCCGTCAGTCCAGAGATATATAGTTTTATTAGTAAACAGATAATTTTCAACTATCAAAAATACAAAATTTTAACTTGTATAAAAAAAGTTAATAAGTTAATGTTAATTCATTTAAAAGTAACTAGTTTAAGTTAAAAGTTAACACGTTTAAAATTAACTAAATTAAATTAAATTATTAACTTTCCAACATTTTAACTTAATTTTTTAGCTAGTTACTACCCAACTCTGCTTAAAATTATATCTAAATAACCAATTCTATCAAGAGCAAAATTGCAAAATGTGTGCTACATATTATATTCTTAATAAAAATTATTATTTATTATTTATTAGTATTTATTATTTATATATAGCCCGCGATTATTTGAATTTGTGATTTATTATTTGTTTCACTACTTTCTGTAACATACTTAATTTACGTTTTTAATTGTTAAGGTAGTAATAGTTAATATTATTTATAAGAAAATATTATCTCATTTATTGAAATAATTGTGGAAAACATATATATATCATTTTTATATAATATTTTATAACTAATTAAAACCTCTGTTATTCTAGATTTTGTAATATAAAGAATAATTCCATTGTTTTATATCTAAATAAAATGTGAAATATGCTCTCTTCTTTTATTTTCTATTCTTTAATAGTTTCTTAATTGCTATCTTATAATATTATATGAATATATAACTCATTTCTGTTATTCTAGATTTTGTAATATAAAAAATAATTCCATTATTTTATATATAAATAAAATGTGAAATGTATTCTCTCCTTTTATTTTCTATTCTTTAATAGTTTCTTAGTCGTTATCTTATAATAATATATGAATATATAATAATCTTATTATAGTTTTAATAATCTTAATAAGCCTAATAATCTTAATTTTAAATGAATATTTAATGTTAGTCCATCTATTAATCCCTATTAATTTTTTGTACTCAAAAGATATTGTAACATCTTTTCAGTGGATCTACAATGTCTTTTAAATGGAAAAGATTAAGATCTTGTGAACTTTTATTTCCATTATTTAGCTAAAAATGTTACAAGTATTTAATAATTTTTCTAAATTTTTAGATAGAAAATAGTAAAAAATTAATAAATTTAAAACTGAAATATATGATTAATGTCATATACACAAATTTTTACAATTTTTCACAATATTATATTATATTATATATACCACAATATTATATTATATTATATACCACAATATTATATTATAGAAATTTATTTTATTTTCTAACTTACCCATTGTATAAAAAAAAAACTACAAATCATCGATGTCATTGTCTTCAATGTCTGTTTCTTCTATTGGATCTTCGCCTAAATCAGAATCTAAAATTTCAGATGATGCATTTATTAATTCTTCAGAAGCTGCATTAATTTCTGATAAAGTGGTTTCTTCTGATGATGTCTAAAAATGTAATAATTTAATGCTTCATTAATTTTTACTCATTTTTCTTTTACAGTATATAATCATAATAAAACCAAAGTATAAAGTAATTTAAACTGACAAAAACCTGTGAAAGAATTTCGCGACCCTCTAAATTCTTATTGACAAGATTTCCCATCCAAAAAGCTGCCGCACTATCGTTAAGAACCAACATTCCTTTGACACTATAAATTAATTTCTCCAATGTAGACTTTGCTGCAGGCACATATTTAGTCAGTGGTAAGTTCTTTTTTTCTGTGCAGTCACAACATATAGCGTGTAAGTACCGTGTACCACCTAAATATAACAACATTATATAAATTAACAAAAGAATATTACATATTTTTTTGTTAATCATATATACAAGATATTCAACAACTTATTTTATTACAAAGGAGACAAAAGGCAATCAAGAGTCAGCGCGGTAATTTGTGTTCTGTTTCATCCGTGTGTAATATTTACGTTCTGTACAACATAGGTGACTCACTCAAGTTCGGTATATTTGTATTGCTAGTTATTTTTTTTAATGTAGTATATTTTATCGGACAGTCTCTCTTTCTGTCTCGAAATTCTGTTACATAACATTTACCTTCTGACAACATGGGTGATTCACTCTTGTTCTGCGTATTATTACTATATATATTCCATATACTTTGTAATTGCCCTGAAGATGGTCCAAAAAAAGGACCGAAACGTACGCTTTTTGTGATTGTGTCTATCATTTAGTTAAAATATCAATGTAATTTGATTATAATAAAACATATGCGCATAAATTGCGCATGAAATGGCAAATTGCTCTTGATTGCCTTTTGTCTCCTTCGTACAATATATTCATAAGAGCCTTTATTAATTTCTTTTTATTTCATTACGATTTTAATTTTACAGATTTTAAAATTTATCTATCTTTAATAAATAGTTTAAATTATAAGTAGAAAAAGAGTGCTTTTTTATTAATAAAATTTCAGAAAAATATATTTTCAGTTAATTTCAAGTGTATATTGTTTGAATAAAATAATTTTCTTTGTATAAAACTTAGTAATAAATAAAAGTGCAATAAATAATGATCTTCTTTATATTTTGTTAGGAAGAAATGGAAAACATTCCGAATTCATTAGAGAAGCTGTCATTAAAATTAAGATCATATCTTATGTAACACTAAATGTCTGCCATACATGTGTCTTATCGACATGAAAATTATTCTTTACCTTGCATCATTTTTAGAATACTAGTTACATCATCTGTTTGATATTTCAGATTATGTTCTAGTATTGGCATACCAATATTTAGAAACTGTCTTGTTAGAAGAGGCATGTATCTTAGAAACAGTTGTATATTAGCATTTGTTTTCAATATTTTACAAATCTGCACAAGTTTTTGAACATTTGATGCAATGTTATGCCATATTTTTATTCTCTTTGGATCTCTAAAAAAATGTTTAATAGATTTAACGAATTGGTATTTATATTGACAAATTCTTCTAATGAAAATTATATTATATACTAATTTAAATTCGTTAAATACTTGTTACACAAAATATAATAAGTTTCGTTATCCTAAGAAAAAAAATTTTCTAGAAAGAATAAAACTATACTTACGAATTGACTGCTGATAATGATATATTGATACCTTTAATTAAACCATCAAAGAGTTTTTTATATAATAAATGAAAAATATTTTTGTTTAGAGAAGGCATTCTTGTTAAAACATTCTGGATATTTTCAAAATTGGAGACTTCATCTGGTAACCATTCCAAAATTAATGTCACTGTATCTAATGGCGATGGTTCATTATCTATCCAGTTATTTAATAATTGGATAATAGATAACCTATATTGAGGACCAGTATATTTATCTTCGGGCCATTCCAAGCAAAGAAATCCGTAAGCTAATTTTGCTAAAATAAAATAGCATATATAATACAGAATTTAAGAAATTTTCGGTATTCAACAACAAAGTTATATTATTTACCATGTTTAGTTTTATGATGTTGGGTATAGGTTTCAGAATGTTTCATTAAAGATTGACACATATTGACAAGAGCGGTGGCTAATGATATTTCGGTAACAATGTCTGACAACGATTCAAAATATTTATAAGATTCTGCAACAAGTTCCTTGCAAGATCGTAATCGTGCATTCTCTGCATTAATTTGTCCAGCTAAACTACGTAATCCCTCTATAAAACATATTGATAAAATATAAATAATATGTAATTTTTATAATAAAAATATCGCACCTCGTAGCAATGTGTTATATGTGACACTCAAAAATCCTTTCCAATTGAAAATTTTGGTGAGAAGGCATAATAATAATTTTGCTGCTTTTTTAAATTCATGAGTGTTATCTTGTCTCAATCTGCCGACAACATCGTCTAATTTTGAGCAAATCTTTGGTAATAGCTGTATTAAATCTTTCACAAAAGATTCGGAAGGTTCATTTTCGAATATTGCTAGAAGTTCTCTAACAAGAAAACAAACTTGTTTTATTGATATCCCTTTTGTCTCAGATTCTGGTGAATCTATTTTGACATCCAAAAGATGGGCTATCTAGATATAATGGCATAGTATTAATAAACATGATTAATATTCAATGATCTTCGGATTATTTCAACTATAGATTTTTTAATTATATATTAAAATTAATTTATTAATATTAAAA